TTCCTAGGTGACTTCAACTTGCCTAGTCTCAGGTGGAAAATAGCAAACAATAATATTATACCAGGAAATATATCAGGACCTAACCAACCACAGATTAGAGAACTACTTAGATTCTGTGACAAATTTTCACTCAATCAGCAGATATCGGAGCCAACGAGAAATGAAAATATTCTAGATCTGGTCTTTACGAACAATGAAGACATTATCAGAGACATTACGATATCAGATACCACATACTCAGATCACAAACTCATTGAAGTGCAAACTACCATCAATACTCAGAATAGACCTAAAACGTTGATAAAGCGAGAGGGGCTATTCAGTAAATTCAATTTTAATAATAAAAGGATAGACTGGGAGATAATAAACAGGGAACTTACAAACATTCCATGGGGAACTGTTCTAAATAATACAAGTCCTACAGAAGGAATAGAAAAACTGACTTCAGAAGCGTATCAAGTCTGTCTGAAACATGTTCCTTTGAGGAAAGCCAGAAAGAGATCTAACGTAGAAAGAGAACGCAGACGACACTATAAACGCAGGAAAAAAATAACGGAACTGCTTATGCAGACACGAATTTCCCGTCAAAGAAGGAATAATTTAAATAGGGAGATTGAAGAAATCGAGCGGAAATTGAAACACTCATATGAAACTGAAGAAAGGCAGTTAGAACAGAAAGCAATTCAGGAAATAAAGAAAAATCCAAAATATTTCTTCTCATATGCGAAATCAAAAGCAAAAACCACTGCCAGTATTGGACCTATTCGTACAAGTGAAGGTTCATACACGGAGGATGACAAAGAAATTAGTGAAATCCTAAAAAACCAGTATGAGGACATGTTTAGCACTCCAATAAACAACATGAAGGTGGAAGATCCAGACAATTTCTTTATGCGGGATATTCAAACCCCTGTAAATATAACTGATATAAACACGAGCGCACTAAATTTTGAAAAAGAAATTGAAAACATGCCCATGCACTCGGCCCCAGGTCCAGACTCATGGAATTCAATATTTATAAAGAAATGCAAAGTGCCGGTAGCACAGGCACTCAGTATAGTGTGGAGGAAGAGCCTGGACACGGGGGAGATACCAGATGCACTTAAAGTAGCAGACATAGCCCCTCTACACAAGGGAGGGAGCAAAGCATTGGCAAAAAATTATAGACCAGTTGCACTAACATCGCACATCATAAAAGTTTTTGAGAGAGTGATTAGGAGTCAGGTCACCAATTTCATGGAGACCAATGACCTTCACAACCCAGGCCAACATGGATTTCGAGCGGGAAGATCGTGCCTCTCACAGCTACTTGAGCACTACGACAAAGTCACGGAGGCATTAGAAGAGAAACAGAATGCTGATGTGATATACACGGACTTCGCAAAGGCTTTCGATAAATGTGACCATGGCGTGATAGCACACAAAATGAAGTCAATGGGAATAACCGGTAAAGTAGGACGCTGGATACTCAGTTTTCTGTCAAACAGGACTCAGCGAGTAACTGTCAACCATATAAAATCTAGTCCAAGTGCAGTGAAAAGCTCTGTACCTCAGGGTACAGTCCTTGCACCGCTGCTTTTCCTTATTCTCATATCAGATATAGACAAAAATACAAGTCACAGCTTCGTATCATCCTTTGCAGATGACACAAAAATTCAGTATGAAAATTACCTCGGCTGAGGACATTGAAAAACTTCAAGCTGATATTAACAAAGTTTTCGACTGGGCATCAGAAAATAACATGATGTTTAACAGTGATAAATTCCAGGTACTCAGGTACGGTAAAAATGAGGACCTTAAACATAATACAGAGTACAAAACACAATCAAATGTACCCATAGTAGGAAAACAGCATGTAAAGGATTTGGGAATAATAATGTCTGACGACCTAACGTTTAAGAAGCATAACCAAGCAAATATTGCGACAGCCAGAAAAATGATAGGATGGATTACGAGAACTTTCAAATCCAGGGATCCCATCACAATGGTTGTACTCTTCAAGTCACTTGTGTTGTCCCGTCTTGAGTACTGCTCAGTACTCACTTCCCCCTTCAGAGCAGGAGAGATTGCTGAAATAGAGGGAATACAGAGAACATATACGGCACGCATAGATGCAATAAAGCACCTAAATTATTGGGATCGTCTCAAAGCCCTCCAAATGTACTCACTAGAAAGAAGACGAGAGAGATATCAAATAATATACACCTGGAAGATACTGGAGGGCCAAGTACCAAATCTACACAGTAAAATAACAACGTACTGGAGTGAACGACATGGAAGAAAATGTAGAATAGAACCAATGAAGAGCAGAGGTGCCATAGGCACAATCAGAGAACACTGTATAAACATCAGAGGTCCGCGGTTGTTCAACGTCCTCCCAGCAAGCATAAGAAATATTGCCGGAACAACCGTGGACATTTTCAAGAGGAAACTAGATTTATTCCTCCAAGGAGTGCCGGACCAACCGGGCTGTGGTGGGTATGTGGGCCTGCGGGCCGCTCCAAGCAACAGCCTGGTGGATCAAACTCTCACAAGTCGAGCCTGGCCTCGGGCCGGGCATGGGGAGTAGAAGAACTCCCAGAACCCCATCAACCAGGTAACCAGGTATCAAGAATTACAGAGAACAGCATAGAGCACATAGAGGTGTCTAGAGACGAAGTGGAAAATATGCTCAAGGAACTAAACAAGAACAAAGCAGTTGGTCCAGATGGAGTTTCACCATGGGTTCTGAGAGAATGTGCACCTGAACTCAGCATTCCTCTTCAACTGATTTTTCAGGCATCCCTGTATACAGGAGTTGTAGCCGATGTGTGAAAAAAGGCTAACATAGTTCCAATCTACAAAAGTGGAAGCAGGGAAGACCCCCTTAATTATAGACCGGTATCATCGACAAGTGTAATAGTCAAAATATTGGAAAAAATAATTAAATCTAAATGGGTAGAACACCTGGAGAGAAATGATATAATATTAGACAGACAGTATGGTTTTCGATCTGGAAGATCCTGTGTATCGAATTTACTCAGTTTCTATGATCGAGCAACAGAGATATTACAGGAAAGAGATGGTTGGGTTGACTGCATCTATCTGGACCTAAAAAAAGGCTTTCGACAGAGTTCCACATAAGAGGTTGTTCTGGAAATTGGAAAATATTGGAGGAGTGACAGGTACGCTTCTAACATGGATGAAAAATTTTCTGACTGATAGAAAAATGAGGGCTGTGATCAGAGGCAATGTATCGGACTGGAGAAATGTCACAAGTGGAGTACCACAGGGTTCAGTTCTTGCACCAGTGATGTTTATTGTCTACATAAATGATCTACCAGTTGGTATACAGAATTATATGAACATGTTTGCTGATGATGCTAAGATAATAGGAAGGATAAGAAACTTAGATGATTGTCATGCCCTTCAAGAAGACCTGGACAAAATAAGTACATGGAGCGCCACTTGGCAAATGGAATTTAATGTTAATAAATGCCATGTTTTGGAATGTGGAATAGGAGAACATAGACCCCACACAACCTATATATTATGTGAGAAATCTAAAGAATTCTGATAAAGAAAGAGATCTAGGGGTGGTTCTAGATAGAAAACTATCACCTGAGGACCACATAAAGAATATTGTGCGAGGAGTCTATGCCATGCTTTCTAACTTCAGAATTGCTTTTAAATACATGGATGGCGATATACTAAAGAAATTGTTCACGACTTTAGTTAGGCCAAAGCTAGGATATGCAGCAGTTGTGTGGTGCCCATATCTTAAGAAGCACATCAACAAACTGGAAAAGGTGCAAAGACATGCTACTAAGTGGCTCCCAGAACTGAAGGGCAAGAGCTACGAGGAGAGGTTAGAGGCATTAAATATGCCAAAACTAGAAGACAGAAGAAAAAGAGGTGATATGGTCACTACATACAAAATAGTAACAGGAATTGATAAAATCGATAGGGAAGATTTCCTGAGACCTGGAACTTTAAGAACAAGAGGTCATAGATATAAACTAGCTAAACACAGATGCCGAAGAAATATAAGAAAATTCACCTTCGCAAATAGAGTGGTAGACGGTTGGAACAAGTTAGGGGAGAAGGTGGTGGAGGCCAAGACCGTCAGTAGTTTCAAAGCTTTATATGACAAAGAGTGCTGGGAAGACGGGACACCACGAGCGTAGTTCTCATCCTGTAACTACACTTAGGTAATTACACTCCCCCATACACCAGGCCGCCCCCGTACACTCCCCCATACACCAGGTCCCCGTACACTCCCCCATACACCAGGACCCCCGTACACTCCCCCATACACCAGGTCCCCGTACACTCCCCCATACACCAGGCCCCCTGTACACCAGGACCCCCGTACACTCACCCCACCATACACCAGGCCGCCCCCCGTACACTACACCAGGCCGCCCCGGACACCAGGCCGCCCCCACCCATACACCAGGGCCCCCGTACACCAGGCCAGGCCGCCCCCCGTACACTCACCCATACACCAGGCCGCCCCCGGACACCAGGCCGGCCCCCGTACACCAGGCCGGCCCCCGTACACCAGGCCGGCCCCCGTACACCAGGCCGCCCCCATACACCAGGCCGCCCCCGTACACCAGGCCGGCCCCCGTACACCAGGCCGCCCCCCGTACACCAGGCCGCCCCCCGTACACCAGGCCGCCCCCCGTACACCAGGCCGGCCCCCGTACACCAGGCCGCCCCCGTACACCAGGCCGCCCCCGTACACCAGGCCGCCCCCGTACACCAGGCCGCCCCCGTACACCAGGCCGCTCCCGTACACCAGGCCGCCCCCGTACACTAGGCCGCCCCCGTACACCAGGCCGCCCCCGTACACCAGGCCGGCTCCCATCCACCAGGCCGCCCCCGTACACCAGGCCGCCCCCGTACACCAGGCCGCCCCCGTACACCAGGCCGCCCCCCGTACACCAGGCCGCCCCCATACACTAGGCCGCTCCCGTACACCAGGCCGCCCCCGTACACCAGGCCGCCCCCATACACTAGGCCGCCCCCTCATACACTAGGCCGCCCCCGTACACCAGGCCGCCCCCATCCACCAGGCCGCCCCCGTACACCAGGCCGCCCCCGTACACCAGGCCGCCCCCGTACACCAGGCCGCCCCCGTACACCAGGCCGCCCCCCGCCACCAGGCCGCCCCCGTACACCAGGCCGCCCCCGTACACCAGGCCGCCCCCGTACACCAGGCCGCCCCCATCCACCAGGCCGCCCCCATACACCAGGCCGCCCCCGTACACTAGGCCGCCCCCGTACACCAGGCCGCCCCTATCCACCAGGCCGCCCCCGTACACCAGGCCGCCCCCGTACACCAGGCCGCCCCCATCCACCAGGCCGCCCCCATACACCAGGCCGCCCCCGTACACTAGGCCGCCCCCGTACACCAGGCCGCCCCTATCCACCAGGCCGCCCCCATACACAACAATAACATGACCAAGAGTGTGCAGGAGTCAGAGGACCAGGGGCCGCCCTTCACAACTTACTCCCTGGTTAAGGTTGTCGTATATGCCCTCCGTCAGCATGTCAAAGCCTCGCTCGAACATGAAGGCGCCGACCACGGCGGCCAGCACGAAGGTGGACGTCCGCCGGAACACATTCTGGTATATTTTGGTGGCGAGTCCAGCCATCTTGTGAGGTGTTGTGGAGGAGCCGGGAGCCTTGCGATCCTTCCTCGCCGCTCCTCTCCTAACTTTATTACTATAATATTTTCGTGGCCTATATTATTATTCCCCTTATACCATATTTGTATGTTATTCATTTATTGCATAAAATTGAGGTATTTGTGATATTCTTCTTGTCGTCAATGTTGCAAGAATCGCAGACAGTTGAGGGTCGGGTGCCGCGCTCCTGGCTCGCGGGCTCCAGCTCCTGGTCTCATGCTTATTTGCAGCCTTTTTAAATATTGCATGTAGGTATGGGGGTCCAGACGCGTAACTTGTGCCATTACTGGTGTGGTGCCATACACGAGGACAGTGACCAAGGGCCTGTCCCGGCCACAGCTGTGACGTCACCACCAGAGCTGTGACGTCACGGCCAGAGCTGTGACGTCATTGCCAGGTCTGTGACGTCACAGTGGCCTCAGCCAATCAGCGCTCAGGATTCTTGTGTTTTGGATGTATATCTTGACGAGTTGCTCAATATCATTATAATTTAATACCGTCTCATTATTCCGCCATGCCGTAACCGTAATTATGCCGCCTAACATACTCCGTCAGTATTTGTATAAATATAATAAGAATATATTAATAAATCAGGGCGTGAAGTGTGTGTTTGAGAGCGGAATAATAGATACTAAATAGTGGAGTGGCAGCTGATCACGTGGGAGCTGCTGGAAGCTTGACACTTGCTAGGGATGCCTCAATTAGTGCTTTAAACGGTCAATGTAATTAGTGGAGGTAGGTGTATGGTGGGAGGAATGTGTGTGTGTGTATGGGTGGGGGGAGGTGTGGTGGGCATGTGGTGTTATGGGTGTGGGCGGAGGAGGGGAGCAGCCACCACCCGCCCGTCACGGTACGTCTCCCTCCTCTTGTTATATCTTCACCAGCGTCTGCTTCAGGAGGTGCAGGTGGGGCGTGTAGGTGGTGCCTGGTGGGGGTGCAGGTGGTGGAGGGCCTCGGGCAGGTGGTGGGGCGGCCACACACCTGACAGGTGGCCCCCGGCCGCAGGAGGGAGGGACAGGTGGTGGTGGCGGTGGTTTGTTTACCAATACTCTTGTGGGCCCGGCCTGCCCACCCTCTTGGTCCTTGTGGTAGGTCTCTGGTTGTGGTGGGCTGGGGTGTGGTTATGTGTTGTGTTGTTGGTGGCTGCGTAGTTGTGGTGTGTTTGTGTGTATGGGGTGAGGTGTGGTTATGTGTTGTGTGTGGTTGTGGTGGGTCTGTGGTTGTGGTGGTGTATGTGGTTGTGGCATGTGTGTGGTTATGGTGGTCGTGGTGTGTGTGTGGTTGTGGAGGAATGTGGTTGTGGTGGATCTATGGTTGTGGTGGTGTGTGTGGTTGTGGCATGAGTGTGGTTATGTTGGTCATGGTGTGTGTGATTGTGGTGGGTGTGTGGAGGCATGTGGTTGTGGTGGTGTGTGTGGTTGTGGCATGTGTGTGTGGTTATGGTGGTTGTGGTTTGTGTAATTACCTAAGTGTAGTTACAGGATGAGAACTACGCTCGTGGTGTCCCGTCTCCCCAGCACTCTTTGTCATATAATGCTTTGAAATTACTGACGGTTTTGGCCTCCACCACCTTCTGACCTAACTTGTTACCTTAACTTGTTGTGTGGTTGTGGTGGGTGTGTGGAGACCTGTGGTTGTGGTGGGCATGTGGTTGTGGTGGGCCTGTGGTTGTGGTGGGCCTATGGTTGTGGTGGGTGTGTAGTTGTGGTGGGCGTGTGGTTGTGGTGGGCCTGTGGTTGTGGTGGGCCTGTGGTTGTGGTGGGCCTGTGGTTGTGGCAGGCCTGTGGTTGTGGCGGGCCTGTGGTTGTGGTGGGCCCTGTGGTTGTGGTTGTGGGGCCTGTGGTTGTGGTGGGCCTGTGGTTGTGGTGGGCCTGTGGTTGTGGTGGGCGTGTGGTTGTGGTGGGCGTGTGGTTGTGGTGGGCGTGTGGTTGTGGTGGGCCTGTGGTTGTGGTGGGCCTGTAGTTGTGGTGGGCCTGTGTTGTGGGCCTGTGGTTGTGGTGGGCCTGTGGTTGTGGTGGGCCTGTGGTTGTGGTGGGCCTGTGGTTGTGGTGGGCCTGTGGTTGTGGTGGGCCTGTGGTTGTGGTGGGCGTGTGGTTGTGGTGGGCCTGTGGTTGTGGTGGGCCTGTGTTGTGGTGGGCGTGTGGTTGTGGTGGGCGTGTGGTTGTGGTGGGCCTGTGGTTGTGGTGGGCCTGTGGTTGTGGTGGGCGTGTGGTTGTGGTGGGCGTGTGGTTGTGGTGGGCCTGTGGTTGTGGTGGGCCTGTGGTTGTGGTGGGCCTGTGGTTGTGGTGGGCCTGTGGTTGTGGCGGGCCTGTGGTTGTGGTGGGCCTGTGGTTGTGGTGGGCCTGTGGTTGTGGTGGGCGTGTGGTTGTGGTGGGCCTGTGGTTGTGGCGGGCCTGTGGTTGTGGCGGGCCTGTGGTTGTGGTGGGCCTGTGGTTGTGGTGGGCCTGTGGTTGTGGTGGGCCTGTGGTTGTGGTGGGCGTGTGGTTGTGGTGGGCGTGTGGTTGTGGTGGGCGTGTGGTTGTGGTGGGCCTGTGGTTGTGGTGGGCCTGTGGTTGTGGTGGGCCTGTGGTTGTGGTGGGCCTGTGGTTGTGGTGGGCCTGTGGTTGTGGTGGGCCTGTGGTTGTGGCGGGCCTGTGGTTGTGGTGGGCCTGTGGTTGTGGTGGGCCTGTGGTTGTGGTGGGCCTGTGGTTGTGGTGGGCCTGTGGTTGTGGTGGGCCTGTGGTTGTGGTGGGCCTGTGGTTGTGGTGGGCCTGTGGTTGTGGTGGGTGTGGTTGTGGTGGGCCTGTGGTTGTGGCGGGCCTGTGGTTGTGGTGGGCCTGTGGTTGTGGTGGGCCTGTGGTTGTGGTGGGCCTGTGGTTGTGGTGGGCCTGTGGTTGTGGTGGGCCTGTGGTTGTGGTGGGCCTGTGGTTGTGGTGGGCGTGTGGTTGTGGTGGGCGTGTGGTTGTGGTGGGCGTGTGGTTGTGGTGGGCCTGTGGTTGTGGTGGGCCTGTGGTTGTGGTGGGCGTGTGGTTGTGGTGGGCCTGTGGTTGTGGTGGGCCTGTGGTTGTGGTGGGCCTGTGGTTGTGGCGGACCTGTGGTTGTGGTGGGCCTGTGGTTGTGGTGGGCGTGTGGTTGTGGTGGGCCTGTGGTGGGCGTGTGGTTGTGGTGGGCGTGTGGTTGTGGTGGGCGTGTGGTTGTGGTGGGCCTGTGGTTGTGGTGGGCCTATGGTTGTGGTGGGTGTGTTGTTGTGGTGGGCATGTGGTTGTGGTGGGCCTGTGGTTGTGGTGGGCCTGTGGTTGTGGTGGGCCTGTGGTTGTGGTGGGCGTGTGGTTGTGGTGGGCGTGTGGTTGTGGTGGGCGTGTGGTTGTGGTGGGCGTGTGGTTGTGGTGGGCGTGTGGTTGTGGTGGGCCTGTGGTTGTGGTGGGCCTGTGGTTGTGGTGGGCCTGTGGTTGTGGCAGGCCTGTGGTTGTGGCAGGCCTGTGGTTGTGGTGGGCGTGTGGTTGTGGTGGGCCTGTGGTTGTGGTGGGCGTGTGGTTGTGGTGGGCGTGTGGTTGTGGTGGGCGTGTGGTTGTGGTGGGCGTGTGGTTGTGGTGGGCGTGTGGTTGTGGTGGGCGTGTGGTTGTGGTGGGCCTGTGGTTGTGGTGGGGCGTGTGGTTGTGGCGGGCGTGTGGTTGTGGCGGGCCTGTGGTTGTGGCGGGCCTGTGGTTGTGGCGGGCCTGTGGTTGTGGCGGGCGTGTGGTTGTGGCGGGCCTGTGGTTGTGGTGGGCCTGTGGTTGTGTGGCGGGCCTGTGGTTGTGGGGGGCTCTGCTCTTTGGTCCCGTTGTGGCGGGCGTGTGGTTTGTGGCTACTGGGCTCTATCGTGTACATTTGAAACTGGTATGGAGTCAGCCTCCACCACATCACTGTGGTTGTAGAATGCTAATGGGCATTTTGCAATGTGGTTGTGGTGGGCACTGTGTGTACTGTGGTGGAATACGTCAATGTGGTCTAATAAACCCAATGTGGTGGGCGTGTAAATTAATTAATTTAACTTGTGGTGAAAAGGCCTGTGGTCATGTGGTGCTTCCACCTGTGGTTGTGGTGGGCGTGTGGTTGTGGTTGGGCTTGTGTGGTTGTGGTAGGTTGGTGGTTGTGGTTGTGGTGGGTTGTGTGGTTGTGGTGGGCTGTGTGGTTGTGGTTGAGGGTTGTGCTGGTTGTGGCGGGCCTGTGGTTGTGGCGGGCCTGTGGTTGTGGCGGGCCTGTGGTTGTGGTGGGCCTGTGGTTGTGGTGGGCCTGTGGTTGTGGCGGGCCTGTGGTTGTGGTGGGCCTGTGGTTATGTTGGGCTGTGTGGTTATGTTGGGCTGTGTGGTTGTGCTGGGTTGTTGGGTTGTGATTGTGTGTTTTTCTTATTTTACGTTGTACTGGGTTCACTTGAATTGTGTTGTGTTGTTAATAATAATAATAATTTATTTAGAAAAAGTACATACGTAGTTGCAGCGTTACAGTACAAACATTCTGTTAGATTTAAAGATAGAGGTAGTACGTACAATACCTAAAACCACCAGTACGCAGAGCGTTTCGGGCAATGTTGCGTTTGTTGGGTTGAGTTGTGTTGTGTAATGTTGTGGGGGGGGGGGTTGAATTGTGTTAGGTTGTGCTGAGTTGTGTTGGGTTGGGTTATGTTGGGTTGTGTTTTGTTGGGTTATACTGTGTTGTGTTGAGTTATATCATGTTGGGTTGGGTTGTGTTGGATTGGGTTGTGTTGTGTTGGGTTATATTGTGTTGTGTTGAGTTATATCATGTTCGATTGTGTTGGGTTATATTGTGTTGTGTTGGATTATGTTGTGTTGTGTTGTTGGGTTTTGTTGTGTTCTTTAGGGTTTGGGTGGGCATGTGTTGGATTTGGTTAGGATTTTAAATTGGTTGGCAAACAGTGTTTGGTACGATGTAACGTGTATCCTGAGTTGGTGTGTTTGGTTTTGTATCTTGCTTAAGGCCTATCAACTGAGGGAGGGTTATTAAGGCCATCACAATAAACTTACTGTCAAACAAGCCGCCAGTTTATTTAGTCCTGAATTATGTTCAGGAATTATGTTAGAGTAAACTCGGCATATATACTTGTACCAAGAGGTGGGGTAAACCTCTCGGAGTATGTATCACTTGTCCGGGTATGGCTGGTACTGTAGTGTAGAGTGAGACCTTGTCAAAGGTAGTGCAGCTCTCGCTAAGTTGTCAGGAAAAGTTAAAGGATCACTTGAATAATGTGCCATCACTTAACACTTTCGCTCACCCCGCGCGCCACCCCTCAACTGTGCGATATGGGACCCAGGGTGTCACGGGAGCGCGCGTAAATTCTGAAAAGTGTATACTCTCTTCAACTTTGTCACTTTAATTCTCGTCCTACGAGATTAAATTTGGTATCATTGTGTTCGCAATAAAATTCTCTACAGAACTAAATGCATATAAACTCCAAAAGCCCGGCTAATTACCCGCAGCAAACAGAGAAAGTGCGAACGAGTTACCCAGGAGCGCACAAACGCGATAAAATGTTTTCACTATTTTCACTCTGGTCACCTCAATTTTTGTCCTAGGTCTTTCATTTTGGTCTCAATGGGTTCGCAATAGAATTCTCTAGAGGAACATTAGCATATAAAATAAGAAACATGGTCACGCTCCAACTGCCGACGAGTTGAAGACGGGCCACGCGTTAGCCGCGAGTGAGCGCTCAGACGCCTTCCAGCTACACTCCCAATTCCCTCCCTTTTCAAGCCTTTCTT